GCTGGGGAGGAAGAGCATCCCTTAGTTGTGTTCTTGTAGCCTCCAGGGTATGCAGAGGGGAGGGCGTAAGGTAGAAACGTGTTCCCTGCTTTGGTGTCATGCTCATGCTTCTCCGTATTCTGCAGAGATCGAGAGCCAGGGCAGCAAAGCGAGGGTGTACGGTGAGATGCTGCATGTGGACATACCCTTTCCCATTCCTGAGCCTGATGGATGCAAGTCTGGAATCCAGTGCCCCATTCAGAAGGGCCATTCCTACAGCTACCTGAATAAACTCCCTGTGAAGAGCGAGTACCCCAGTGTAAGTAAGCGGGCAGCTAGTCTGCTCCTCAGAGCTACCATCCTTCCTGGGGCAGTCCCACCACCTGCCTTTAAGGAAGGACACCTTGTCCTGTGTTGGTGGGGAAAAGCTTAGAAGACTCCTTGGACTATCTGGTGGCACTTCTACTGTGAGTGTGACTCTCATTTCAAGTTCTCACTTTGGGACAGACCCAGCAGAGGAAGCAGCCTGCCTCCAGCTGATGAGAAGTGCCTTCAGCTGCCCAAGTATCCTCCTGTACTATGCCTCCCTGCAGAGCCTGCTGCATTCAGCCAAATGCTTCCAAACTGGGGGTGCTCAGATCCAAAGTGCAGTTCAGCTGGGAGGTTGCAGGGTGTTTCCATTCTTTCCTTACTCAGAGTGGAGATCTGAGTGCAGTGTGTGGAGGTCTCTTGCATCACGTAACAGAACCCTCCATCCATCCATGTAAGATACTCCAGCAGTCACTGCATGAGCGTAGCCCACCTACTGCAGTGGGGCAATGTCCCACCTCAGTCCTCTTTGTGCAGAGCTCCCAGGACCTCTTTGCACCGCACAAGTGATAGCTCCTCTCTGTGTCCTTGCTTTAAGGTTTCCTGAACACTCTCATTTCCCTCTGCTCTTCTCTCTTTCAGATTAAACTGATTGTGAAGTGGGAGCTGGTGGATGACCAGGACCAGATGTTGTTCTGCTGGAAGATACCAGTACAGATCACCAGCTGAGGAGTCCTGCCATTAGTAGGGCTTGGGGAGGGGAAGAACAGAAGAGAACACAGGCCAAATTCTTTTTATATAATAAGCATTTCTTACTGCTTTCTTCAGAGCTCTGTAGCCTCCCTGCAAGGTCAGCCATGGGCAGAGGGCTCTTGCCCTGTTTAGAGCCCCCCAGGGTGTTCTCACAGCAGCTCAAGGGGGAGCGGTGTCTGCTGTAGGAGTGACTGAGCATCATCCTCCACCCGCTTTGCAGAGGCACTTTAGTTGTTTGAAATAGAGCTGTCTGTCCTTGCAAAGGAATTTCTCTGTGACGAACCTGGTTAGTATTTGAGCTGCTACCTGGTAACCCTTCAGTGCCTCTTCTAGAATGCCAGCTGCATCCACCCTCCTGCACTTCTGCTCTGTCGTGACCAGGCTGCCCCTGGGATCTGCGTTTGCCATCCATGCAGCTGAAGGAGAAGCGATTTCCTGAGCTGACAGCCTGCTCTGTCCTGGGCCCCTGCTCAAGCCAGCAGGACTGCAGCTGAGAAACTTCCTTTTTGTGGATGCAAAGCTAAATGGCGTTCAACATCTGTGCAGGGATGATTCTTTCTCTAACCAATTGTTTGCACTACTACTAACTTGGAGCTGCTGGGAGCTCCTGAATCTCTTTTTATAACTTTTCTTTTAATAAAGGCTAGACAAAATCTGTTTGTATTGTCTTCTGTGAGTGGAGAGGAACAGGAGGAAAAACAGAGAGGCTGAGCATCTGCTAGTTGGGGTTGGGCTGGTCTTATTTCTCAGCTGAAGGCAGGGGTGGAGGTGGTATGCTGGCCTGAGCGTGGGTGAACTGTGAGCAGCCAGGCATCTCTGCTGCTGGCTGCCAGGGAGTGCAGCTGGCAGTGTCTGCCTGTGCTCCTGCCTTGCTTGTCCTGGGCTGGCCTGAAATTGTGCAAAGGCTCCCTGAGGAGGTGGTGGTGTAGCATGGCCTTGCTTGCTGCAGCACAGGTAATGGCCTTTCTAGTGGGGGCTCTGGGGCTGGAAAAGCAGCTTCCAGACCTGCCCAAAGGCTCTTGCCAAATGCAGAAGCCTATGTGCTCTCACAGTTAAACTGCAGCTTGCTCATGTGTGAACAAGGCAGGTTGTAAGAGGCTGTAATCACTGTGCTGTCTGTGGGGACTGGAGGTGATTCCTGTGACTAGCACTGGGCTGGGGAGATAAGCAAGTATTCGGCCTGGCAAGGATGTCTGCTCTGGCTCAGGAGCAGGAGGAGGCTGGGTGCCAGCATGTGAGGGGTAAAAATTGGCTTATGAGAGTGGGGGGGCCTTGCCAGGCTGAATTTACAAGGAGGATGTGGCTCTGGTACCCCTTGGCAGAGGCAAGACAAGCACAGTTCTGACCAGCCCCAGTGTCTTGAGCCACAGGGGCCCAAAATAAATGTTTTATTTAACAACATGAGAGAAGTTTCCAGCAGACTTGGTTAAAAAAAAAAAGTCACAAACAACTTTACAGAAAGGAATCTGGAGCTGCCC